AGATGTTAGCGGCCTGCCTTTGGCCAAATTGAGGCTGCATGTTATTCAGCATGTCACAGTTTTATTCGTGAATCTGGAGGAAATGTAATAACACGACATGAAGTCTGCAAAATAGCCTGCAAAATGTATGCCAGCACTTTAAATCCTAGAAACATCCAGTCTGCATTTAGGAAAAGTGGAATTTACCCCTTTGACAAGTCTGTAATTGAAGATGCCAAAGTTGCTCACATCTTTTGATACGGATACTATATCTGCCACTGATGCCCCTGACCCTTCATCACATACACCAATTCATGAAACAAGTCTGCTGAGTCATTCTTATTGAACAGAGGGGGGGGGGATTCTGCAAAATGTTAAGAAAGCAAAAATAAGAAATGCTTTGAGTAAAATAGTTGGTGGTAAATGTATCACAGAAAATGAAGTATTTGAAAAAATTATTGAACATGACACAAAACAGATCTCAAAGAACAAATAAACAAGAAAATCATATCCAGTTAAAGGTAAAAGAAAAATATACAACCCTCTACATCTGGAATTCAAACAAAAAAGTAACACTTAACGAGTATTTGTCAAGCTCTGAATCTGAAATTGATAAAGAAGAAACTGTATAGTTTGTAAGAGTTTTTACCCAGATTCATCAAAGAAACCACAACTCTTAATAGTCAACTGGGGATAATGTGCTGGGTGCACTTGTCATTTTTGTTCATTAGTAAGGGTTATCAGAAGAGGTGACAAATTCCTCTGCCCTTTCTGTAGTGACACCAGCAACTAAACTTTTGATGAAAAAAAAACAATTGTAAATATGTTTTTAACAGTTAAAAGTGTTATAACAGTTAAAATATTATTTACAGTTTAAGTTGTGAAGGTTATTTAACTTATGTTACGCGTACTTTTTTATGTATACTTTTACTACAATTGCCGGAAACAGGTTGTACTACTTCCGTATTTGTGACATTGAATATGGATAACTAAAACAAAAAATGCCGTAAGCAGATTTTGTTTTATGAATCAGTGGGAAAACGATTTTATAATATTCATGACAAATATTTATTTTCTTCAACATAAGTAGTAGTTTACGCTCCGATATATTGTTAAGTGGTCGGAAACGGATTGTACCGGGATATATTTTTGGGAAAACAGTACATATTTATCGTGTGGAAGCTGAGAAGGGTTGTTCAAATATATTTATAAGAAGGATTAAGCATATGCACTATTTACAAGTGAAATTCACAGGGACATTGATCATTTCCAATACACTAAAGTCTATCAGGATGATAATGATTTATCAGAAATTCGTGTTTACTTTATAGGCGGGGCTTAATATGCTAAGTGTTCTATCTCATGATTCAAATTATCGAATAAATATTTTTCAGTACTGTATCCAATAAATATTTTAAATTATACAATATAGAACATATGTATAGGAAATTATCGCACACAAATATGTTTTGATGAGCAAATAATTTTAGTAGGATAGAATAAATATTATGCTATAGCATATAAAATTAGATTTATATAATATAAATATTGGATATAGACCAACAATTAAGTTACTGAATATTGCAACGTTTAACATGCCATAGACCACAGCAATGAACAAGTTATTATTTGTTCATAAGTGTCAACAATCGATTAGAATGAAATATATCAGATTCATCAAATTCAAACATTTCAAAGGGGGTCAAAGAGCAGATAATGAACATGCTCGGAATCACGTGCATTAAAATCTCCGGCTAAAACATATTTGTCTAACCTTCTTGTTGAAATTATATCGTTTATGTTATTTTTGGTCAGAAACATGTAATTTTCAGGAAGTAGATATATGATATCTAGAACATCATTTTAAGATTTGAAAGATCAAGAAACTTTGTCTACTGGTCTCTCAAATTTTATATCTCTACCACCATATTTATGTTTATAACACTGTTTACTATGCTTTCCGGGAATACAAACTTTACTTATTACAAGCGTTACACTCAAGATGAGATACAACACACCAAACAATAATATTCTTTAACAACTTATTTAAAATCAGGACAGTAGTTTGGATGTTATATACGTATATGTACTTCTATTTTGTATTCGTTGCAGTTTAGAAAGTTTTCCTTTTTCATTAAATGTATATAGAAAACGTGATCATAATCAATGTCAGTCCTTTCTTGACCTTGGCATTTCAGACCAGTTTTTGTCAGTTTAACAGCATTTGAAAAGAGGCTCGTGGTATCAATGCGGTTGCTCGATATGTCATTCATCACATTGAAAATTTACCTCTTGTAACACAATATCAAACGATAGAATAGCAAATATAAAACGGATTTTTGCTATATAAGATTTGCTATCTTGGTCACAACAGGAAGTTATTTAAAAGTAAATTAAGATAGATTTTTCAAGCTTTTTAATAACTAAATAGAATAAATGTAAAAAATATTGTATAGATCTAATAATGATAATTCAGATTGAATTATAATCTCAAAATCATTAATTTTGTAAAAAAAAACAAAAACAAATTCTTTATATGTAAAATAATAAGCGAACTGTCACACAGATATAAAATGGTTTATTTGCAGTCTTGGTCACTACCGAAATTAGTTAAAAATAGATTAAAATATATTTTTCAATTTTTTAACAGTTAATATTAATATTCTTTTGTTTGCTTGTGCTTGCTGATGTTCGCTTTTATTTTGCTTTTATTATTTCGCTTACTTATGTGTTATTTTGCGTGTATTTGTAGGACACCCTTTATTTATCCTTGAAGTGAACCTACAAAAATTAAATTATTTGTGACACCCTCAGAATGGGTTATTCATTCATTTATTGAAAAACAATCAACTGTCACACTTAAATACAAAATGGATTATTTGCTATAAACAATTTTTGCAATTTTGGTCACAACCGGCACTTAATAAGAAATAAATCAAAATAAATTGTTCAAGCTTTTTAATAAGTAAATGATATTTTAAAAAATACAGTAATATATAATAATGATATTCAGATTGAATAAATCTCAAAATCATTCGAATAGAAAATTACATGTTCTTTATATGGAAAGGCCCGGTCACACCGCAAGAACTTTGCTGGAGCGTTCCTTGAACGGTAGAGAGAGGGGACCGAATTTCGACAACGCTCGTCGCCGCACACAAAATGGGAAAAATTCGAAACAACGGGCGTTGCCTAACCGGTGCACCGCTGAAGCATGTGTTGCATTAGCGTTGGCTTTATGGTTGCTAGCGGTTGCTAGCGGTAGCGAGCGTTGGTTTAGCGGTGACGCAAGCGTTGATAGAGCGGTGTTCTGCGGGCGTTGGCTCGGCGGGGGGTTGAAGTTTATTTAGCGGCACACCGTTTTTGACTACGGAGCTGAACGGATCGTTTATATCTTTCCTCAGCTCCACCATCAGCTTGTCATACAGTCCATTTTCAGGTATCCACTGTCTGACCCACACAACTCTGTCTCTCCTTATTCTCTCTCAACAGCTTGTTGCAATCTGAGGAGGTTCTGATTAAATGAAGTCTGCACTCAACGGTTGCTCGATTCCAAATGGGCTTTTGGTCCATTTCTCCCCGTAATTATAGCTAAATTCTGCCCCTTTCCGACACCTCCATACCAACGCCAGATCAAATTTCATCACCGCAATGGATCGCTGCTTCAACGCCCAACACCGTTACAGTAATCCCGTTTCCGCTCGTAAAACGCTTACAACCGCTTCACCATAGCTTGTGCAACGTTTAATCACCGCCCGGGCAAAGCTGGAGAAGCAGCGGTGGTCCAGCGTTCAAGATTACTGCGTTAGCTTAGCGGACCAAGGCGTTCACGAACTTGCGTCTAGCGGTACCAAACTTTGACTGTACGTTGTTGGAGCGGTGGTGAACTTTGTCGAAGCGGACAATTTCCCGCTCCTAACCGCTTGCAATATTTTGTGCAGCTCAAACTCGGACCGGTAGGAGGTACCATAAGCGGTGACCGAGCGTATATACGGCGTTGCCTTAACGGAGGCCAACTTCTGGTGAACGGTAAGGAGGGGTGATGAATTCTATTAACCGCTCCAGGAACGCTCCAGCAAAGTTCACGCGGTGTGACCGGGCCTTGAAATAATAAGCGAAGGATTATTGCCATTTTGCTGTTAAAAAGCAAACAAATCATAGGAATGCGAAGACAAGTGAACGTTTTTTCAAAGTTTGTCTTATCGGTAAAATAGATCTACAATATTTTAAACATAGACAATAGATCTTAATTAAAAATTTTGTTCAATCCATTTTTATGCATTTAATTCTGCTTCTGTAAAATACAAATACAATTGAACAAACTGTATAACATAAATAGTGCAGCAGCATTTTTCAGATCATCTCCTGGCGTAGGGTCAATACAATTTGCCTTTTTTTTAGCATCGTCAACAACCTCACAATCTTTTGGAATCCATAAATTGAATGAAGGCTCGTAACAAAATCTTTCAGCTACATGAAAACTTTAAGACAAATATATATAACTAAAGAACTGACTCCGTGTTTCCCAAACCTGAGATTGCCGTCTTGATAGCTTCTGTCATAAAGTTATAATTCCATATGAATATTATGTTAGAGCGAATTATTGAATTGATACACATTTTTAGAACTAAACAGTACATGATTTAATAAATAACTAACAGTAACAGCTCTGTGTGAAGCCAGAAAGATGATAATCAATCTTTTGCATGTTGAGCTAGAATGCCGCTTGTGGAAGGTTTGCCATTTCCATGTCTAGATGTTGTTTTCTGCTTAAGCCGATGCGTTTTCGCGGTTTCTTTTTTGACCATTTTTCAGTCAATGTAGATCTAGTTTTGACTTTATCGTATAAGAAATTTCAATGTTAAGCATTCATCATCAGAACGTCATTTAATGTCTTTAATATTGAAAACTTTTATTCAATTAGCATGTCCTTTCATCTTACATCTTAAAATGTATATGTGCAATCAAGTCATCACTATGTACGTCGTCGTTTCTCATTTAATTAATGTAAAGGTGTAATTTTATTTGACGTAGTATGCAAGCCATCTCAATGCTTCGCCATAACCAACTCGTTTCACATCACTACATGGAAATGTTTCTAAAGGTCTACATATCAGATCTGGCTTTGATGAAAGTATCTAAAAATGAAAACATTCAATCAGTTTAGCTATTGCAGAACATTTGAAACGAAATGTAACAAAGTATTTTATTCAAATATTTTGAACATTATAAAGATCGGAAAGAAAAGTTTGAAAATGTTTTTTAGTACAGAAGACAGTAGAAGTTTCAAATTTCCTATTTAGTCGTAGGTGTTCTAATTGTTTAGATTTCATGAATATTTCAAATCTTAATAGTCAAGATAGGAAAAATATTAAGAATATAAAAACCTTGCCAGTTTTATGCCTCATTAATTGAAGTCTCTCAGAGAGATCATTTTCACTGGCAGCTCCCGTTTTGTCTATTTTGTTATACAAAACGGCCACTGGAACGTCTATGACACTTTTGTTCTGTAGTAACGTCTGAAAAAGGCAGGAAACGATCATGAAAGTATTAGAAAATTCTAACTTTCGTTGCACTGGAAACATCGCAAAGGAATAATGCGATAATCCAATTTGACTAAAAGTCCAATCTTCTTATGTTTTACAAGGGACAAAAGGAGCTGATAATAATAAGATTGATGATCTGTACACGAAATTACTCACTGTTATCTGAAATATTACCTTAAGTAAAGATAACGGCTTACAAAGTTATTTTAATACACAAATCAATTATCTTAGTAACATGGTTTTCTGTATCGTTGTTACACTGAATATAAAGTTGAATAGTAATCAACATTTGAAAATTTCATTTAAAAATTTGCTTCTAAGCTTGACACGCGTCTAAAATATGCTTATTTGCTGATAACTTTACATATGTCATTCAATGCCGATCCACTATTTTCCTTCTTGACTTGTTTAATATGGCCAGTTTAAGTGAATCAATATAAAATACAAATTAATTGAGAAAGCATAAAATTTTTAGAATGTCTTACAAAAATGTTTAAAGGCTAATATTAAGTGATTCAAGAACGGACTTTCTGTGTACTATATTGAAACGTGTTTGTATTGTATGTGTAGCATTACATCAAGTTCTTCGTTCGCTTCCTTGAACCGGTCATTATCAGTACAGTCCACCAAGAAAATAATAGCATCACACGAAGGATAAGTGTTCTTCCATACTTTACGAACTGAAATACAAAAACATTTCACAACAACAATTAAATAAGTGTCGAAATTTGAAGTTATATATAAGTTATAACATTTTTAAAGAATAGATATTTGTTTTGTATACAATTGTGATGGATTGCAAACAAAATTGTGTTGAATATACTCGTATTTCACTTTTCTTCAATTTTCATTCATGTCTATTTTAATTTTATCGTTGTTAGTCCGGATTCCATCAGGGACTTCGGACTCTTTCGTGTTTATTTATTTGGAATATTTACTTTCAATTGTCTAACTTATCTTTATAGGAAAATAACTTTTTAGAGATCCAAGATGGTTTCAGGGGTAATAGACAGACAGACAGACAGACATTTTATTTCAATCAAAAAGGCTTATAAGCCCATGATGACATAATACAGCATATTTACAAGATAATACAAATGTATTACGAAGAGAGTATCGTCCCTTAAATAATGCACAAAAGAGCACCTGAGGTCTTCCTCCATCAGTAAAGCTGAAAAAGTCGCCAAATGACACATACTGTGCTGGTACTACGTAAAACCTTCCATACTCAATCCGTACAGTGATAACTTGAAATGTATCATTTATATGAAACATTTTTAAATAAAATAATGTTTAAAATAAGAATAAAATTACCTCCCGGAGGTCCTACAAGGTCAACCGTTTCAAAACGCGTAGTACCAACATCAAATACTTGGGAAGCTGAAAAATGAAAACACAATAAGATCCGGTAATTACACATTATATTAAGACTTTAATAAACATTATTACTTCCCTTTTCAGTAAAATAGTTACTAGTATTATATTACATTACGTTCTATACTTAATATTTCAATTCTATAGATTGGTAGTAAGTTTAAATGTATTATTTGCCCACTTTTAATAATGAAAATTGCTATTTAGAAGCTTTGTAAAAAGTATTTACCCCCATTATAAGTTTGTGAATTGCTTGCCATTACATCATTTGACAATAAGTGTAACAGAGAGCTTTTGCCAGAATTATCAAGCCCCAAAATCAGCAACTGTTTCTTTTCCTTAAATCCTACAAATAGATAATTGTGTGTGAAGATATGATATGATACATTGATTTGTTTACTTCAGATTAAAAATCAACCGGTAAATTAAACAAAGAACCGAAAAGGGTATATGATTCCGTACATTCTTTAAACGCTTTACTTCAGCTTCAGCTGTTAATTATTTTCAAACGTAACACAGGTTTAGTTTGTTGTTTTTGTATTTTTTGTTGCTGTTGTTTTTATTGTTGTTGTTTTAACAAAAAATAGTTTAATACTTGACATGTTTCATTCCAACAACTTAAAATTTGCAACAAAAAAAAAATCACGTGAACTTCTATCTAATATGTTACTTTAATTCATGATTTTATCTCGAAAACCATGTGACGACCTAATTATAGGCGAGCATTCAAACAGATAATCCCTTGATAACTACCTTTATAGCAAGTGCTATTCATAAATCATTTTACTTCTCAAACTCAAAACAGATAAAGGTTATCTTCCAACTAAAATATGAGTTTTTTGTATCTCATGTTACGACCAAATTAAGGAAAATATGATAGCAGAATACGAAACTGCATGTTAAAAATATTCGGACGCTTGCGTTTTCTATTGGAAGAACATTGTACTGTCATACCATAGACTGACAAACCAAAATTAAGAATATGTGAGACTTACCAAAATACGACAATATAGTTTTCATCCAATCAAAAAGAAACATCTCTTCGTGGAACTAAACATGAAAAAATAAACATTGAAAGTTTTACAATCGCACAAACGCGTACGATTTAGTGATATTATAACATCCGGTTGTCGATACAATTACTTATATATTTATCTAAGGTCATCACAAGCACACTGATGTTGACAATAGTAGATAACGAATTCAGTTATAATCTAAAAGTTTAATCAGTTGGCTGTATAAATCAACAAACAAAATATCAGGTACGTTTGAAAAATGGATGCACTGGTTCTAGCTGAATTCAAATTTGTCTATTGTTTGTGTAAATCATAGTTAAATACCAAAACATTATAAACCAAGCAGCCAAATGCTAACTATAATGAGTCAGATGTTCTATTTGCAATCTAGATTGAATAAGGTAAAACGATCATGGGATAATATTAGACTCCCCCTCAGACAATTATACTTATTTACACTTCAACTTTATTGAATCAATGAACAATTTTGGTAAAAACATGCATATAAATTTAAATATTTTAAGAAAGCTTAATATAAGATGGAGTGTTTTTCTTAAGTGTAAACAATTATGGGCCTTCAGAAGAACAAAAAATGTACTTGTCAACAAACATATGCTCCTAAACTAACTCCAGGGCGGACGAACGGAAATGTTTCATGTAACACACATTCAAATGTATATCTGCAATATGGTGTCATTTAAGATTAAAAATGAACTTGGACGGACATTTATTCATACAAACTCACAGACAAAAGACGGTGCGTATGTGTGCGTGCGTGTGCGTGCGTGCGTGCATGGCGCGCTACTAATTTTGTTATTGAACAATTGACTTATCTTATTTTTTTTCAATTCAATTTGATAATTTTATAAGTTACTAGTATTTGTTTCTTCTTATGTGTTACTTGTTAATACTCATTTATTAATACTTATTTGATTTTTGTTAGTACTTATTTGTTAATTGTTAATACTTATTTGTTATTTGTTAATACTTATTTTTTACTACATGAAGTTACTAGGGCTGTCAATAGAGACCAGGGCGAAACTTTAGTTTATTCTATATGGCAAATATCGTACTTCAAGGCCATTAAAATATGGTTTCTTTTTCATAACTGCCACTATATAAGGGAGGTAACTGTTGTGCTAAAAAAAGAGTCGCTAAGAGTGACCTCCCCTGATAACATTGCAAAAGGCGTAAGGGTTCAAAGGGAGGTAACTGTTGCAATCATAAAAGAATCGATAAAAGTGACCTCCCCTGATTACATTGCAAATTGCGTACGGGTACAAAGGGAGGTAACGGTTGTGCTCAAAGAGTCGATAAGGATGACCTCCCCTGATAACATTGCAAATGGCGTTAAGGTTCAAAGGGAGGTAACTGTTGTGCTAAAAAAGAGTCGATAAGAGTAACCTCCCCTGATAACATTGCAAATGGCGTAAGGGTTCAAAGGGAGGTAACTGTTGCGCAAAAAAAGAGTCGATAAGAGTGACCTCCCCTGATAACATTGCAAATGGCGTAAGGGTTCAAAGGGAGGTAACTGTTGCGCTAAACAAATAGTCGATTAGAGTGATTTCCCATGATATCATTGCAAATGGCGTAAGGGTTGAAAGGGAGGTAACTGTTGCACACAAAACGGCAGATAAGATTGACCTCCCCTGGTAACATTGCAAATGGCGTAAGGGTTCAAAGGGAGGGAACTGTCGCGCTCAAAAAAAATGATTAAAGTGACCTCCCTTGACACCATTGCAAATGGCGTAAAGGTTGAAATAGGAGGCGACTGTTGCGCTTTAAAATAATCGGCTAGAGTGACCTACCCTGATAACATTGTAAATGGTGTTAGGAATCCAAAGGGATATTACTTATACGCTTCAAATATAGTCGGTAAGAGTAACCTCCCTTGCTAAAATTAAAAACTTTTTTTCTGTATTTGACCAAAACGCCTTTGTTAATGTTGTCGTTATATTACAGATTTTCGACCATGCGACCACATACATGCATCGAGGACATATAAGAAAGAAGTGACCGTGCGACCACATACACGCATCACAAGATTCCCCTTATCTTTCCAGAAAGGGACAAAGAGTTGTCCGCCCCTTTTATTAAAGGGCAGACTGAAAAAATATGCCATTGCCTTATGCTAATGATAAGCAGGCTAACTTTCACAAATGTGTATTGAGTTGGTTTATATACAACAATAGTAATGCAAACCAAGCGGGTTATCAGTTTTCGTCTTTTTTTGTCCGTTTTGAAATTTTAAAGAGATAATATATAATTTCTTGGAAAATTTTGAGTTTAAGGTTTTTTCTACTTTTCATTCTTTGTATATAACAGAATTATTTTAATTTTGCGAAGCATGAACGTTTCAAAAACGTTTTATATGCATTAAATATTTCACACGTTGTTTTCAAATATTAACCTGGGGGCATTTTTGCCGAAGTACTGTCCCAGGACGATAACTTTAGCTTATGTTTACATAAAAATTGATAACAATGCGAAAAAATAGGTAAAGCAGCTAAAGCCTAATAAATAAACAATAGAGGGATAATAGTTAGGTACCATTACATTTGAGTGTTTCATTTATCTTTTTCTTATATGACAAGTTTTGTTTTAAATAGTTACAAACGCATGAGATAAAATATGAATATACACAGGTTGAAATGCAGCTGTTTTAAGTTTGGGGAAAAACGTCAACATCAGGAAAAGCAATATCAGAAGTGTAAGAAATATAATGAAATAAAGTGTGTTATATATTGATCAACATGTTCAAATTATTAATATTTCGTAATTGTAGTGTGTTTAAAGTGTTTGATTTTTAAAATGATAAATATTTTTTTTTTAAATCACTAGAAATGTCTTTATAAAGAGTGGAACAAAAATGAAATAAAAAAGAAACATAAAATAGAAGTAGAATTTTTAAGAACCAAATACATGTATATTCAAATGATCATACAAAAGACAGACAAAGTGAAAAAGGGATAAAAACAACAACAACAACAACATCATCATCATAGTAATACCCCGGTCACATATTCACGGAATACGCCCACGGAAGAGCCACGGATTAATTCCGGCATCGTCCGTAGCTACCCGTACTGGTCAGTAGCTCTCCGTATTGTAACCGTAATCAATCGTAGTAGTCCTGGTATATCCGTAGCGATCCTTGACAATTTTTGAACATGCACAAAAATTTGCTACGGAAAAATCAACCGTAGCGTATCCCTGCTAGTCCGTATTAAAACGTACCGATACTTACTGGTCCGTACGAAAACCGTACTAGTCCGTACTGATTCGTAGCCCACCAACTTGTCAAGGATTTCCACGGTTTGGTACGGATAACCTACGTTTAAGCTACGGTTTTAATACGGATTAATACGGAAAGCCACGATCGTAATACGTTGTACTACGGAGAAGCAGGGATTAGCACGGTCTTATACGGTTTATTGCGTTGCAACACGGACTTGTACGGTCCACCACTGTTTAGAACGGATGAATTAAGTATTATGTACTTTCCAAGGGTACTACCTTCTTGTTAAAAACAGACATATTTGCGGGAACATTCAATAAATGATAATTGCCATTTACTGGCTGCAATTTTATCTTGAAATGGCTCAGAATGCGCAGGCAGTGGTCGAGCTGCTAGATGACATGCATAGAGGTAAAATATATTAATATCGTACTACAATTCTTAAGTAATAGAGTAATAACATTTAAAGTTACACATTTTACAAACATTGGATCGTGAAATTTGAGTAAATATGTACATAAAACGAAGTGTCTCATAAGCCTTGGACACTGACCCTTGAGTTATAAGAAGATTAATTAACAAGCTTTTTACATATTTTTAAAACATAAACATTCACGATAATAAATATTATTGTAAAAAAACGGCACATTTTAAAATTAAAAGAGAAGCAGTTTTGATCAACACTTTTTTTAATGATTACTAGTCCATATCTAATCAGGTAAGAGAGGACAGGCAAGATGGTGGACTGGAGATGGGCTTTTACGAAGACCCCTTCATGTTTAGTATGAGGCTCTCATGGCCGAACTTGTTGAGGACCCAGCGTCCTTCAAGAAATTCACTTTTATCGGACCTGATGTGTCTCGGGGGTCAGACGCGATCAGGCCGAATCCTCTCCGCCGAAATCATTAAACTCTGCAATTCGTTTTCCAGGTGTTCTTTTCTTGTGGGGCATTTATGCAAGAGATTGTGGACGGATGTATTAGGTCCGTATAGATCCGTGGCAATTCGTTCTTCTCCGTATCAATTCGTTCTTCTCCGTATCAGACCGTACTTATTCGTACTAACCCGTGCTTATACCGTAGCAGACCGTAGTGTATCCGTAGTGCGTCCGTCCTAATTCGTGTCGCTCCGCATCAAACCGTGTCGGTCCGTAACAATCCGTGTCTCTCCGGGGGATTTTGGTGGTAAATCCGTCGGACTCCGTACTTATACCGTTGTGTGTCCGTACTGGAACCGTAGCGGACTACGGAATTTCACATTTCCGTAGTAATCCGTGAACGATTAGACCGTAGCTCTTCCGTGGCATTATCCGTGAATATGTGACCGGGGCTTAACATGGCAGAGCGAACGGGTACAAATAATTAAAAGTAACTGTGACGTTGATTTACCAACTGAGCTTCTATACGCTGGTACACTTTTTTTTTAGAATTAAACTATATATAGATGTTGACACTTTCAATCTCAAATAATATGCAGACTTACCATTTAAAAGTACCGTAAAGACCAAATTATCTTCACAGGACAATATGGACAATACACATTTAATTTCTATATTCGACTTATTCTTCTTGAAAAAGAAAAAGGTAATGTGACGGGCTGAAAGAAAAAAAAATAGATTAAACTTGAGCAGCATGCAAATATGACACTGGTAAGACTACATAAGACTACATAAATGTATTTTCAAGTCTTATCTTGATCGTTACAAAAATATGAAGTAGGTTGAAAAGTTACGATCATGCAGTCACGCAGACCTTCATCCGTGTGATGTCATTTAACAATCTTCTTGAGAAAATTCCCTATGAAAAGAGATACCTTAATTTCAGCTACATCTACCCTTCTTACTGTAATCTAACGCAAAACATTTAATAAAGTGATAAAATA